AAGAGATGAACAATGGCGGGAAAATAACAAGAAACGTTCATTGAATATGGGAAAAAGTACATGCGCCTGTCATGGCGGGAAAACAGCGAACAATAAAACGCGTGCGGTCAGAAATGGCGGGAAACGTAAGGTGAAACTCRCATTCTAAATTCTTTGCTCGTAAAATAACTACTTTATATTATATCTAACTCTGTATTACAGATACGCGGAATTAGTTTGAAAATCCCGGAAATGTTAAAACTGCAAATGACTGTAAGGAATAAAACTCAATAATCCGTACGGCGCCCACCTTGAATCTATAAGTCGAAACTATAAGTATATTACGAGTAAAACAACGTTTTGCTCTGATAATTCTAAACCTGAAAACATCCATATTTGGCTATTATGCCCTTCCTTTTCAAACTTGTGATATAAAAAAAGCTGTTTTAAATAATAATTTGCTTTCAAAGATAATTATATAATAAACAGAATATTATTTAATCATATTGCATACAATCGCAACGCTAACTCGTGCGAGATCTTTTCAAACTCTCGGAGATAAAATCCGTATCTCCACGCAAACATATAAATATCCTCTGTAAAAAGCGCATGGTACAAGTGTGTTTCACGCGTTTCTAAAAATAAAATCTAAAATAAATAAAGCTGACGATTAATTTGAATTTGACTACGGAAACAGATAAACAAAAAGCACAAACCAAAATATTTTTCCGACCATGGAATAGAAAAATAAATATACTCTTCGGGAGTAAAACAAAAGACAAGTGCAATAAATCAACACATTAAAAGGCGTAGAAACAGGAAACAGATGTTAAATTAAAAAACCCACTTCACAAACTGTTGTTTTGCTCTAAAGGTTAGAACTTCCGTGTTATTTTGCTGGGAAAGAGCCCATTTTCTCTTGGTTAGATTACACAGGAAGCCCGTGAAAAGATAAGTCAATGTTAAAATCAGTTCGGCACTATGTTTGGTCTTGACGCACAAAACTAGCCTTTATCTTGTCTGCAAAACTAGTTTCGTTTTATTAAACCTCCTCAGTTACAAGAAATAAGGTCATGGGTTCGGTTCCCGTTGAAGATCGAAACTTTTTCGATCCCCTCATTGACATTCGCTTAGATTGTTCTCATTTAACTGCGAAAAACACAATTCCCTATCACATAGATCAAAACATAAAAAAGCAGCAACAACAACAAAGGAATACAATAAATTATAAAAAGATAAAAATGCGAGAAACTTCACTTTTGTTGTGATTTCAAACTAGATAATATTTAGTGGTAATCAAATGTCATGTTGTGCAATTTTGGTCTGGAATCAAACTTGTGTTTCGAAATTAGCCTCCTGCTACTTTGTGATCAATTATGATTGCAATCAAACATCAAGGAAAAAAACGTATGTTTTGTGGCATAGAGATATTACTTTTTTTCTCGTGTTGCTGTTGTTGCTCTTGTTATTGTTGTTGCTCTTGTTNCAAAACAAAGAATTTGCTCTGATAATTCTAAACCTGAAAACATCCATACTTGGCCATTATGCCCTTCCTTTTCAAACTTGTGATATAAAAAAGCTGTTTTAAATAATAATTTGCTTTCATACATAATTATACAATAAACAGAATATTATTTAATCATATTGAATACATTTGCAACGCTAACTCGTGCGAGATCTTTTCAAACTCTCGGAGATAAAATCCGGATCTCCACGCAAACATATAAATATCCTCTGTAAAAAGCGCATGGTACAAGTGTGTTTCACGCGTTTCTAAAAATAAAATCTAAAATAAATAAAGCTGACGATTAATTTGCATTTGACTACGGAAACAGACAAACAAAAAGCACAAACCAAAATATTTTTCCGACCATGGAATAGAAAAATAATATACTCTTCGGGAGTAAAACAAAAGACAAGTGCAATAAATCAACACATTAAAAGGCGTAGAAACAGGAAACAGATGTTAAATTAGAAAACCCACTTCACAAACTGTTGTTTTGCTCTAAAGGTTAGAACTTCCGTGTTTGCTGGGAAAGAGCCCATTTTCTCTTGGTTAGATTACACAGGAAGCCCGTGAAAAGATAAGCCAATGTGTCCGAACTGATTTTAACAAGTGTGTAACTGAATAATCCAGTTTCGGATTCTCCAATGCTCTGTGTTAGCCTCATTTATGCGCAAAATATTCCTAATTGTGAGAATAAAAGTGTGAGATTTTAAATCAATTCCATTGTCTTTCTTTTCAAATTCCATGCGTTTTCTCGGGCTATCAATGAAACAAAAGAATATTTTGCTTGGTTTTGAAGCTAACACAGAGCAAACCAGAACTCGAAATGTATTGTCATCCTTTGATATTACGAGTATTTTGGCCTCGCAAGACTTTGATATTATTTTCATCTTGACTACACTATGTTTGGTCTTGACGCACAAAATTAGCTTGTATCTTGTCTGTAAAACTAGCTTCGTTTTATTAAATCTCCTTAGTTACAAGAAAAAAGGTCATGGGTTCGGTTCCCGCTGAAAATCGACATTTTTTCGATCCCTTCATTGACATTCGCTTAGATTGTTCTCATTTAGCTGCGAAAATCACAATTCCCTATCACATAAATCAAAACATAAAAAAGCAACAACAACAACAACAACAATTGACTACAATAAATAATAAAAAGATAAAAATGCGAGAAACTTCACTTGGTTGTGATTTCAAACTAGATAATATTTAGTGGTAATCAAATGTCATGTTGTGCAATTTTGGTCTGGAATCAAACTTGTGTTTCGAAATTAGCCTCCTGCTACTTTGTGATCAATTATGATTGCACTCAAACATCAAGGAAAAAACGTATGTTTTGTGGCATAGAGATATTACTTTTTTTCTCGTGTTGCTGTTGTTGCTCTTGTTATTGTTGTTGCTCTTGTTGTTGCTGTTGTTGTTACTGTTGCTGCTGCTGCTGTTGTTGTTGTTATTGTTGCTGTTGTTGTTGTTGCTGTCATTGTTGTTGTTGTTATTGCTTTTGTTGTTGTTGTCCTTGTTACCGTAGTTGTTGCTATCATTGTTGTTGCTGTTTTGTTGATGTATTTGCTGTCATTGTTGTTGTTGCTGTTGTTGTTGTCATTTTTGTTGTTGCTGCTGTTGTCCTTGTTACTGTACCCTGGGAACCAGAGGCTGGATTTACTCGTTCTTGTAGTTTATATACGGCGCGAAGCGCCGTCCT